TTTCCAGAATATATAAAGAACTTGCCACACTCAGTAATAAGAAAGAAAACAACCCAGTGAAACAATGAGTAACAGACATGAAGAGGCACTTCACCAAAGAATACATAAATGGATGACAAGTAAGTATATGAAAAGATGTTTAAAAAAACGTCATTTTTCATTGTTGTTGTGTGCTGTTGAGTCAATTCCAACTCATAGCGACCCTATAGGACAGAATAGAACTATCCCATAGGATTTCCAAGGAGTGACTGGTGGATTTGAACTGCTTAACTTTTGGTTAGCAGCCTGAGCTCTTAACCACTTCGCCCTTAGGGCTCCCATTTTCCATTAAACCAAAACCAAACCCATTGCTGTTGAGTTGATTCTGACTCATAGCAACCCTATAGGACAGAGTAGAACTGCCCTATAGAGTTTCCAAGGATCGCCTGGTAGATTTGAACTGCTGACCTTTTGGTTAGCAGCTGTAGCTCTTAACCACTGCACAACCAGGGTTTCCATTTTCCATTAGAGGAATACAACTTAAAACAACAATGAGATACTACTGTACACCTGTTAGAATGACTAAAATTAAAATGACTCTTCATGCTGTGTTTTGGTGAGCATGTGGATGAACTTGAACACTGCTGGTGGGAATGTAAAATGGTACAATGATTTTGGGAAACAGTTTGGCAGTTTTTAAAAATGTTAAACATACGTATGACCCAGCCATTCTACTCTCACGTATTTGCCCAGAAAGAAATGGAAGCATATGCCCATTCAAATACTTGTACATGAGTGTTTATAACAGCTTTATTTGAAAAGCTACAAATTGGAAACAATCCAAATATCCATATGAAGGCGATTGGATGCAATCTAATCAGTGATGTAATACAATCCATACAAAGGAATGACCTATTGATACCTGTCACAGGGTTGAAGAAAAATCTCAAAATAATTGTGGTAGGTGACAGAAGCCAGACAAAAAGAGAGTCCATATTACATGATCGATTTCCATAACATTCTAGAAAATACAATCTTATCTAAAATGCAGAGTCAGTGTCTTCCCAGTGATGAGGGGAGGATGGAAGAGGCAGGAGACAGTGATTTATAAAAGGGTATGAGGAAACTTGGGTTATTGAAATATATATATATATGTTAATTATCTTGATTGTGGTAATGGTATACTTTTGTCAAAATTTATCAAATTATATAGTTTAAGTATGCGACTCATAGCAACCCTATAGGACAGAATAGAATTGCCCCGTAGGGCTTTCAGGGTAAGTATGTGTAGTTTATGCCAATTATATAGCTCAATAAAGCTATTAAAAGTAAATATTTCCTATTCTTTTATGTGGTGTGATTTTCTTCATTTTATAACTATTTCCTTAGTTTGGCCCGTGAACTTTTCTTTACAGGATGTTTCCTTGTTAACATTTATCTATATAGAGTGTAATATTGTTCATTCATGCAACTCATATTTATTGAGTCCCCAGCACTAAAATAGACATTGTTGTTAAGTGCGGTCAAATTGATTCCGACTCATAGCAACCCTGTGTACAACAGAACAAAACACTGCCCAGTCCTGTGCCATCCTCACAGTCGTTCCTATGTTTGAGCCCATTGTTGGAGCCACTGTGTCATTCCATCTCGTTTTGGGTCTTCCTCTTTTTTGCTGACCCTCTGCTTTACCAAGCATGATGTCCTTCTCAAGGGACAGGTCCCTCCTGATAACACGTCCAAAGTACATGAGACAAAGTCTCGCCATCATCACTTTTAAGGAATATTGTGGCTGTACTTCTTTCAAGACAGATTTGTTTGTTCTTCTGGCAGTCTGTGGTATATTCAGTATTGAGGAATAAAAAATGCAGTGAAACAAGATACATGCATTATGGAACTTAGATCTAGAGATTTATGATGATAAAAATTGTAGGCACCTGTAAAGAATATGAGATGTTTAGGAAATGGTGTTGCCTAAAAACATTGTGGCATTAGAACAAGTGGCTTTGCTGTTCATTAGCTCTGGGGTAAGGGTGTGTTTTAAGGCCGTCTGTAATGTGGAGAACCTGTCTTGTCATAAGGATTCAGAGTAGTGCTCTGAAGTATCCATAACAATGCCTAGTATGTTAAATGCTTATTTTTATAGTTTTCTGAATGGACTGTGAGATATTTAATTGGATTAAATATGTTGTGTAAATTGAGTTTAATCCCTAACATACTGGTCTTTATCTTTTTAACATAAATGATTTAAAAAAATGACATTTCTCTGTTTTCCACCATACCTAAACAAAGCAACATATAACAACTATGGTTCTCTAGTCTACTAAAGAATAATAATTTGCTATTATTTATGATTATACTTCATATCTAAAAGTAACTTAGTTGGAAACCGTAAAGAAGGTAAAATAGAGGTCAAAGACCATGCATTAAAGTTTGTGAACTTTACCTGAAGGACACAGCTTTGATCTAGACCCACGTCTTTTTAATTTAGATACAATTCTTATGAAGTTGTATATATGGAACTTACGTTGTTGTTAGCTGACATCGAGTTGTCCCCTACTCGTGATGACCCCATGTGTGTCAGAGTAGAAGTGTACTCTGTAGCATTTTCAATGGCTGATTTTTCTGAAGTAGATTACCAGGCCTTTCTTTTGAGGCACTTCTGGGTGGACACAAACCTCCAACCTTTTGGTTAGCAGCCGAGCGCTTAATTGTTTGTACCACCCAGGGACTCATGGCACCTTTACCCATAGCCTATTTGAAATTGCAGTATAGAAAATGATATTGGAGGAGGGGAGAGATTGTTGCTGCACATGTGCAAAGTGCTAGCAACAAGAAACGAGCGCTGATGCACCTGGCAGAAAGGGAGATGAAAGGAAAACCTGGAAAGTGAACAGGGGGACTCAGAAAATATAGTGCTCATACATAATACATAGGACCCAAGAGCCCCATAAGGAGCCCTGATGCCACGGTGGTTAAGCACTTGGCTGCTAACCGAAAGGTCAGCGGTTCAAAACCACTTGCCACTCCACGGGAGAAAGATGTGGCAGTCTGATTCTGTAAAGATTACAGCCTTGGAAACTGTATGGGGCAGTTTTACTCTGTTCTGGCGGGTCACTGTGAGTTAGAATCGACTCGATGGCAATGGGTTTAATTTCGTTTTGGTCAACAGCCCTGTATATTAGTAGCCTCTAGGGATATAACTTAATAAAAGTAAAAAATCATTCAGTACTGATTATGGAACAGACATTGTGCTAATTGTTTTACATGCATTATCTCATTTAATGCTCAACAACAGCTATAGACACACTCATTTTTATAGATGAAGAACCTGTCACTTTGCAAGATTGTCACACAGGAGTGGCAAAAACAGGGCTTGAACCTAGGGATGTCTGAAACTAAAGTTTGTGAATTCAGCCATTAGTCTATATACCTTTTCCTGGTTATTAGTAGAAAAAATTTGGTTATAAGTATAACCCTTTTGAATAAAGAAAAGCGTTAAAATGTCTAGCACCTTTTTTTTTTAAAGGCAGGAAGGTGTAAAAATATTTTATGACAGTTTTTATTTTAAAAAGTTCAAATTTTTTTAGTTTTTGTCACTAAGATATAAGACATTGTTTTCTAAAAAAATTTGTAGATCGTTTAATTTCTTGCTAAATTAAGTATATATTATAAAATTCAGTAAACGTGTATATTCTTGAATAAGAAACTGAAAATTGATTTTATTAATTATATTACCTTATTTACCAAAGGAAGTAAATCTCTCTAAGTAATCTGTACATATGCTAAATTCTTTTTGTCTATTTATACCCCATGTTATTCCAAAAAGGTTTTGGGGCAATTACTATACATACATGTTAATTTGTAACCAAAATAGTTGGAGAGTAGTTTCTCTTGGTCCACATCGAGTCTGTATATATCTAGAATGTAAGCTTTATGAGGGCAGAGACTTGTATGTTTTCTTTACTTTATGTCTAGTGCTTTGAACAGTGCCAGTAAACAAAGGTGTCGAAAGAACATCAATTACCCGTTTTCATAAACATGGAATTATAATTGCATGCAGCTCATTGAATTTTTACTTAGCATGATTGTTATCTTTAATTCTTGATTTTATAAATTTTGTAAAGATTATAGCCATTATTTTAAACATTCTTTTAAATTTTAGTATTTTTTAACCAATAAAAAGTATGAGAATTTGGGCTGAGTACTCTCCTGATGACATAATTAAAATCCTCTTTTTTTTGGTAAATCTAATTATCATTTTAGTGACCATTTATTCTGGTTTTATAAAAGTGCAAAATGTGCAAGAAAGGGAAAAGGTTATGCGAGCTTGCCTGCTTCTTTTACATTTTCCTTCCCACTTGGAATTGCTTACCAAAACTTCTGTAAAGTTGTGGTTTTCAAAAATCCAGGAATTGCAGTCAGCTCTGCCACTTGCTGGCTATGCAACCTTGGCAAATTATATAACCTCCCTATGCCTCTGTCATGTTGGGACAGTATTGTCACCTACCTCATAAGATTGCTGTGAAGAGTAACTGAGCTACCATAATATCTATAAATCATTTAAAGTAGTGCTTTGCACATCAGGGCTCAATAAATGCTACTTGTGATTTTTAGGGTTTTTATGAGGCTTAAATTAAATGGGATTATGCATGTAAGATGCTTAGCAGAGTATCTGGCATTTATTAAGTGCTCAATAAATGCTGGTGGCTCTAAATATTCAGGTGTCTGTATGTCTAAAGAGGTTGTGTCTTTGGATCTCTACATATGTCATTTCTTCAGTGAATTTATTTTAGGGCATGAAGAAAAACACTTTTTATGTTATCTTTTCCCAATAGGTAAAAGTTAGACAAAGTTAAAAATGTTTTAAATGAATATGTAATTATTTTCTGATTTCTAAGCTTAGGGCATTTGTTAGGCCTCTCCCTTCATGGCCATGTTGTTTTTATTATTACAAAAGTATAGATCTTTGATTAAAATCACAATTTACCTGTTTTTCTTTTTTTAAATTTTCCCCCTTTTAGGTTTGTGGAATCTTGCTTCTCTCTTTTCCAACCTTTGTTTGTTTGTGTTGATGCCCTTTGCCTTTTTCTTTCTGGAATCAGAAGGTTTTGCTGGTCTGAAGAAGGTGAGTCAATTGTGTTTTGGAATTAAATTTGTTAATGAAGAAATAAGAATTCATATCGAACTAAAAAATGTAGGCTTGAACAACCATTTGAGAGGAATATGATAAGTTGAATTAATAATAATAATACATAATACTAACAGTCCACTGTTAGTGTTAATAATGTTAACAGTAATATTCATAGTTTGCATATTGAGTTATTTTACACATCCACAGGGGCAACGCCATCTTTTATACTTTTGAATACTTCCATAGTGTGCACAAACTTAGTGGAGTATTCTTTCGTGGAATAGGTGAACCTGACATAATAGCTGTTATTCTTGTCTTATGGTCTCATTCAGTTTAATGTATAACATGAAATTCTAAAAATCTTAAAATATATCTTGATGCAAAAATTATTTCATATCCAATGTTTTCAGGATACTAGCATCTTATAAAGTCAAACATGCTCCAATTTTGTGTTCAAACTCCCAGGATACTGTGAGTTACTGATCTTAGGTGAATGTGGGAAGGTGAGAAGTGAGAAAGCCAGGACACTTTGCAAGAGCATCTTAAAAAAATTAATCAGGACTTTACAAGTGATAATAACTCATTTACCCTTGTATGTAATGTTTTAAACTGTAAGCAACAAAGTTTCTATTAATAGCCTATGGAGATCTTTGCATTGCATTTTTGGAATATTATGCAAAGATTTAAGTAGTTAATACTTTTTGAGTGACTTTTAAGCTTGACCCAATCAATTCTAGTGTTAGAGTTTAGTTATAGACACATTATGCCTTTTAAATTTTTAGCTCTATTTATATTTTGATATATGAAGTGGAAGTGTGCCTGTATGTCTTATCGTTGAATCAGTTAAACAAATTGTCATGGGAAGTTGTAAACTATGAATTATTATTATTATTATTATTAAACTGTGAATTATTATTATTTTTTTATATAATTTTAGATGGAGTCTTAGGAAAAGAACTGTTCAATGTAACGTTTTGATAACTCTTCTGATTTTAAACCTTGAGTGTAACATATTTCAAATCTATACATTGAAAGATGTAGTCAAAGAATCAGTGAGTCAATTTCTTTAGAATTTTGGAGCCACAGCTTTTTTGATGGATATTTATTTATTCAACAAAATTTGATTAAGCACTTACTAAGAAATATGATTAGAATCCTTGGGTGGTGCAAATGGTTAACGCACTCAGCTATTCACCTAAAGGTTGGAGGTTTGAGTCCACCTAGAGGTACCTCAGAAGAAAGACCTGGTGATCTACTTCCAAAAAATCAGCCATTGAAAATGCTATGGGGCACAAAGTCCCTACTCTGACACATGAGGTCACCATGAGTCAGATTGACTAGACAGCAACTGGTTTAACTGGTTTTAAGAAATAGTTATTATGCTATTTTAGGAGCTTCCTGGAAACCCAAAGCAAAAATGGTGTGGCGGAGGCATCTGACCTCCTCTAACTTCACAAGCGGAGAGGAGAGTCATTATCAGCATCAGCAGCCCAAGACTGATTGCTGTGAGGTGGAGGTCAGACATACGTCTGTCCTCCAACCTTTTTATCAATTCTGACACCAGCTGTCACTCTTAAGGCACTCTCTACTTCTCTGCTGGGTTTGATAATTCATTGCAGTGGCCACACAGAACTCACAGACTGTACTTATAGCTATGGGGTTTGTTAGAGAAGGAGCAGGTTACAATGCAGGATACAGTTCTTCGATCAGGATAGCCTCTTCTCAGCCATGCCCGCAGGCCTCTCTCTGGCCCTTGGACTTTCAGCCTGGCCTCTGCCCTGCTCGGGCAAGTGTTACAAAGCTCTTCAGCTCAGCCAATGAGTGCCTGGAGGCACCCCACTCTGCCAGTAAGCCTCGGCCCAAAGGTGCTTATCTCTCTTGCTGTGTGGGTTGGCAAGCCTAGCTCTCCTGACAAGTGCCTGGAGGCACCGCACTACACCGGGAAGCCTCCTGCCTGAAGGCACTCAGCTCTCTCCTCTGTGGGTTGTCACACCCACTGTAACTGCCTTGATCTGTGGGCTGGGAAGCCCACTGCGGCATCTTGCACTGGTCACTTGGTTCTGCTGCCGCCATTCCTCTGCCGCTGCTTCTCGCCGTCTTGCACTGTCTCCAGTGTTACAGCTCTCACCCTCTATCTCGTGGGTCTAGGAGGTTCTCAGCACAGGGACCCCGTCTCTTCTTCTTGGTGGTAATGAGGTCCTCACTTTCCACCTCTGGGATGGCTCATTTTAAGCCTAGTGGGATGGCAAAACTGACCAATCCCCTTGTTAGGGCTCCATATACCTTATTTGCATGGCCCCACCCCCACAAGGGTGCCATTCACTTTATTTGCATTATTAACAAGTTATCCAATCCCCTTGGTGGGCCACAAGCACCTTTGCATAGTCTCACCCAATCATTTGATGGGAGCTATAAGATCTTGGTGAGAAAGTTCATATAAAAACAATCCATTGCACCACACCAAATGAAAGACAAGGTTCCTGCCTTCAGTGGATATACAGTGGAAGAAGTTAGAGATGCAAACAAATAAGATGCAGTTTGATGAGTTTTTATGTAACAAGGTGTTATGGGAGCTAGTGAAAGGACTGACTGTTTTGATCTGTCCAGGGAATCCAGAAGGCTTAACAACAGGAGACTTGGAGATTGAGTAGGAGTTTGCAACAGGATTGTGGTAGCATTGTAGGCTTGAGCAAGGGTCTGGAATTCTGGTTGAATTGCTAGAGTGGCAAGTGATTTGGTATAGGGAGAATGGTGAGAAATTAGAGTAAGCTAACAAAAAAAAAAAAAAAAGAAACCTGTTGCCGTAAAGCCAATTCTGATTCGTAGCGACCCTGTAGGACAGAGTAGAGCTGCCCCATAGCGTTTCCAAGGAGCAGCTGGTGGATTCGAACTGCTGATCTTTTGGTTAGCAGCCAAATTCTTAACCACTGTGCCACCAGGGCTCCTTAGGTAAGCTAGTTGGGGTCAAATCATGAAGGCTCTGAATCCTCTGCAAGGTAGTTTGAATTTTCTGCTGTAGACAGCAGGGAGCCCATAAAGGATTTCTGAAAAGTTGCATCTCCTGTTTTATTTAAGTATATTTAGAGATAAACAAACATTTCAGAGTTTCACATGTCCCACACAGTGCGAAACACTCTTTCGCAGAGGTGTCACTATACTGAATCAGTCACACAACTGGATCTGTTAAACAGAGTTTCAGCATTTGTCACTAAAATTGCCACATTGATGTTTGCTTTAAATACACAGAGTTCTCCCACCTCCACCTCACTGTGTAATCTTACACAATAGAACATCTGGCAAACTTTTATTCCAGTGTTAAATATATTTAGTATCTACCTAGTTTCTACTTTTTATGAAAATCTAGTTATTAATAAGATTATTGTTTAAAAAAAACAGTGTGCAGTATGGACAAACCTCTTGCCTCCAATTTGGCTAAATCTGTTGGAGCAGGGTTAGCAGCCATCTCTAGAATTAAAAAAAAAAAAAAAAAAAAACTGACACAAAAACCCAGTGACTTATGTCAGTTTTCTCATGGTACCTCTTATAGACTTACAGTCAAAAGAGACAGCTACGCTTGAGGAGGGATCCAAGAAGGCCATTAAAGATATTTAGTACCTACAGATGTACAGCAGTTGTTCCCTCTAAATTTTTTACCTTTGGTCTCTCTGTATACTATTAAAAGAATATTCTCTAAACACATTTTTGACTATGTTAGTCTTCTGCTCAAAATTCCTCAAGGGTCACAACAGCATTTCATGATCTCTAATGGGACTGAAGTGTTGAATGAATGTAAAGTATAATTGACATTACCAATGCAGTTAATTCTCCAACAGAGCTAAAGGATTATTAAAGAGAGGATAATGAGGTAGGAGTCCAGGTTGGGCACCATTTATCTGAATTGGGAAGTTGGGTAGGGGAATGAATGCAAGATAGAGAAACCAAATTAAAGAATTTGATCTTTAATGCTATTAAAGAAAGGAGGGAATGGGATTGTAGCTTGAAGGTAGAGCAAGTAGAATGATTTTAAAGTAGGGGAGTCTGACAATATTGATATGCCAAGGGGAAGGGTTGGTAGAAGAGAGACTGAAAATACAAAGGTGAGAAAGTTTGGTTTTAGTCAGACTGCCTGGGAACTTTGGGCAAGTTACTTAATCCATCTAAACGTCAGGTTTTCTTTCTATAAAATGGCATAATAATATTTACCTTACTGTGTTGTTTTGAAGATTAAACGAGGTGGGTTATTTATGTGGAGCACATAGCCTAGGACTTTGCTCAGTAAATGTTAGCTATTATTATCCTAAAGGTAGTCTATGAATGTAATTGACTCAAAAGTACTCTAGGACACATCAGTGTTACATGGGATCATTAGGAAGCAACTGAATACAGTATAGTCAGCTCTTAGTTATTTCCATAGTAATGTCTCAGGCAGTTTTAGAATTCCAAATTACTTTGCCCACTTTGAAACGGCATATACCGAAGCAGAATAAATCAGTTTTCACATTAAAGATAGCATACTTTGAAAGAAACCTGCTTAAAGATAAAATTTAGACCTTAGTAGAAAGGATGAGAAAGCTTTAAAATTAAGGTATTCATGGCATGTTATTTTAAAGTATTCATATTTTTCAGTTTTACCATTAATTACATGAAATTAATTAATTAATTAAATTAATTAAATTAATTACCATTAATTACATGAAAGTTAAAAAGGTTATTAGCATCATAGAGTTAAGTCTAATCATGTAAAATACAGGTTTGAGCCTTCCGTGTTATGTCTTTCTATAATACAAGATCATTTGGTATTTACCTGTGCATATTCTAAATGATGTTCCTTGAGATACATGGTTCTTTGTACAGTACTATAGGTTATGTTAGAATGATTAACTTTGCCTGCTTCATTGAAGTTAACGTTATGACTGACCAGTCATTAAAGTGTTTTAATGTAGTTGGCTGGCAAATACATACATTCAGGTATACTCTTTTAAAGTGTTTTAACG